GACTCACTATTTGCAGTCATTTAAAAAAGAAAAATAAATTTACCGATGGCAGCGTGCTTATGATTTCTAGATATCATGATGTACCATGAGGAAAACGCTATATCCATGCGGTTATAACAGTCAGGTGCGCGAAATTAGTCCAAAACACAACAACCACGATTCTCAGTCACATAACATCTTACTTCGCTACCTCATCGTATAATCGTATCAATGGATGTTTTGCCAAAGAAAAGAAGACTACTGGTTTAAGGAAAATTTATTTAGTTTTTTTAAAGATCGTGAACATCTGTGTTTATAATCACGGAAAAATCACAACTTCGAGGAAACCACCGATCGTAGACTACAACCCGAAACGTTATTCTTCCTAATTAATGTCTTACCTTTAACTGGGATTGTTCGTACACTCACCGGATCATCGTATTTTATCCGCTTTGAAAACCGTTTTGCAACCCATTGAATGGATGTTAACACTGGCTCTATTACGGGTAGTCCTAGTTCATGTATTTGGATCTAGTACATCAAGCAATAATAAGCATAAGTAACACTTACCCTTAAGGATTCCAGGTTCTTTTAGTTCCCCCAAAATACACACAAGCACAACAGATTCATACTTTTCATGCGGCTCAACCTTATTTTACTTAGATTCTCTCACAAGTTATTTTTTTTAAATGATAGCAGACACACGGATGGTATATTCACATTCTCAAAAAGCTTCAAAGCTTTTTCATCTTCAACCCAGGTTCTAAATTTTCCAGGTTCAATTTGTTCTTCGAAAACTTTGCTACATCAACTCTGATGGTGTTCCCTTTAACAGATTCACTCGCAGATTGTTGCATGCTGTAAACTTGAACGAGAAAGACACTTTTTTTCACGATTTCTACACCTTAGGTAATTAAATGACCCAACAAGAATAACGGCAACCAATAAATGAACTGAAAACAACTGCTTCTGCCAGCCAAACATCTTCATGTGCATGATTTCCAAAACTTCTACACACTGCCAATTCATTAACAGCTGAAACCCAACTAAAACACTGAAAGCCGCATAAATACAAGGTATGAAACAGTTTCGTAATTGTTTCATACCTTGTATTTATGCGGCTTTCAGTGTTTTAGTTGGGTTTCAGCTGTTAATGAATTGGCAATGTGTAGAAGTTTTGGAAATCATGCACATGAAGATGTTTGGCTGGCAGAAGCCGCATAAATACAAGGTATGAAACAATTACGAAACTGAACATCGTGCGCGCTTTTCGACTATTACGCTACATTTTGGTCATAAATAAAATCTCTTATTACTCTAAAATTTTATGCAAAGTGTTTGCGGAAATTATCACAATTATTAACCTTTCGAACACTGAATCCAAAAAATACAATCTTATTGACAGATAATACACATAACTCACTGTTTGGATTTGTGGAATTTTTAAACATAAACACATCTATAATTGTATATATTGTTGGATTTATATGTTCAAGTTGCTCCAAGTCAGTGAGTTTATGGTTAAGATATCATTTTAGTTAACTGTACTGAACTATATTACATGTTGTCCTATTTTATAGTTGTCGTCGCTTTTTGCCCTTTTTTCTGTGAACTGTTTCCTTTGTTGATGTTGTTCTCATTGTTTGTCCGTTATTTTCTGATTTTGAGGGGAGCAACCCAAAAAGTTGCTTCTCTCTAAACTTTTACTTAATGTAATCATTCTTTTCTCAGGCGTGAGGCTAGCAACCACACCCTGTAAACAAAGTTGCTACAGAACCTTCAGCAAAATGAACCTCTTTGCACCAAAAGAAAAAGTCTGTGTAGGAACATGGAACGTCCGAACTATGTACGAGACTGGAAAAGCTGCCCAGATCGCCAACGAGATGAAAAGATACGGAATACAAGTGCTGGGAATATGTGAGAGCAGATGGAATGGGAGTGGACTCACCAAATTGTCAACAGGTGAGTCAGTGATCTACTCCGGTCACCCAGAAGATAACCACACGCACACCGAGGGCGTGGCTATCATGATGTCACCAACGGCAACGAAAGCCCTGATACAATGGGAGGCGATTTCGTCCAGGATAATGACCGCCAGGTTCAACTCCAAAGGAAGGAAAGTGTCAATCATACAATGTTATGCACCCACAAACAACGCAGACCTCGAGAAGAAAGAAGAATTCTACAGGCAACTACAGGCAACAATGGACAATACTCCAGCTGGCGACATGAAAATACTAATGGGAGACATGAACGCCAAACTGGGACCAGACAATACGGGAAGGGAACTCATCATGGGTAGAGAAGCTCTAGGAGAAATGAATGAAAACGGAGAACTCTTCGCCGACTTCTGCGCCTTCAACGAACTGGTGATTGGTGGCAGTGTATACAAGCACAAAGATATCCACAAGGCTACATGGGTGTCACCAGACGGGCAAACCAAAAACCAAATCGACTTCATCTCAATCTCAAGGAAGTGGAGGCGCAGCCTACTGGACACAAAAGCAAGAAGAGGAGCAGACGTTGGCTCAGACCACTATCTCGTACAAGGGACAATCCAAATCAAATTAAAAGCTTTCAAAGAAGGAGGAGCTGCAGATAGACCACAAGCCAAGTTCAACACTCAAAAGCTGAAGGACCAGGCTACAAAGGACATCTTCATTGCAAGCATAAAGGACAAAGCCGAGACACAAATCAACACTAGCGAAGAGGTCGGCGTTGAAAAGCACTGGAACAACTTGAAAACGGTGTGGAGCCAAACCTGCATAGAAATTCTAGGCAGAAAAAAGAGACAGGACAAACAGTGGCTCACTACGGACACTTGGAAACTAATAGAAGAGAGAAGGACAGTGAAGCAAAAGATTATCCAGTGCACGACGAGCAACAAAAACAGGAGCTGAATGCAAGCTACAATACACTGAACAAAAGAGTGAAGAAAAGTGCCAGGGAAGACAAAAGAAAATATTATGAAACCATGGCAAACGAAGCAGAACAAGCTGCAGGCAAAGGAGACCTCGCCACACTCTACCAAACAACTAGGAACCTTTCGGGCAAACGTTCGACACAGATTAAGCCAATAAAGGACGACAATGGAAAGTCAATCACCAAAGAGGTGGAACAGAGAAAGCACTGGGTTGAACACTTCAAAAGACTTCTAAATCGTCCGCCACCTACAACACGTCCAGCAATACCAACAACGGAAGCAGAACTACCAGTGAACACTGACCCCCCGACGAAATCAGAAGTCCTGAATGCAATCAAGATGCTTAAAACTGGGAAAACACCGGGACCAGATGGAATCCCAGCAGAGGCTTTGAAAATAGACCCAGAGACAACAGCGGACTTGATGACACCACTACTGGAGAAGGTGTGGAAAGAGGGCAAAGTACCCGAGGATTGGAAGAACAGTTACTTATTCAAACTTCCAAAGAAAGGAGACTTAAGTCAATGTAAAAACTGGCGTGGAATTATGCTTCTGTCCATTCCAAGCAAGATACTAAGTCGCATCATCCTGGAGAGAATCAAACAAGCCCTAGATGAAAAACTTCGTCCGGAACAGGCTGGATTCAGGAGAAACAAATCATGTATTGATCAAATCGCCACTCTACGGATCATCATTGAACAAAGCTTGGAATGGCAGTCACCTCTCTATCTCAACTTCATCGACTTTGAAAAGGCCTTCGACAGCGTCGATCGAGAGGTCATTTGGAAACTACTTCGCTACTACGGGGTCCCATCGACAATTATACACCTCATCCAACAGTTATACGACAATGCTGCATGCCAAGTAATCCACAACGGGAAACTTACGGAAGCCTTCGAAGTGAGGACGGGAGTGAGGCAAGGCTGTCTACTATCACCAATGATCTTCCTGATTGCAATTGATTGGATAATGCGACAGACAACGGCAACCAACGAGGGAACAGGCATAAAATGGACTGACACAAAAGACTTGGAGGATCTGGATTTCGCCGATGATATATGTCTGATTTCCCATAAACTGGAAGATATGCAAGTGAAAAGTAACAAGTTGGCAGAAGAAGCATCAAAGATAGGACTTCACGTGAACATAGATAAAACAGAGATGATGAAGATTCCTTGCCAACATCAACAGCAACAACAGACCACAATAAGCATAAATGGGAAGAACCTGAAAGAAACAACCTCCTTCACCTACCTGGGAAGCATCGTCTCAACTACAGGCGGAACTGACGAGGACATCAAAGCCAGAATCGGAAAAGCAAGACAAGCTTTCATTACTCTCAAATCTGTGTGGAGGTCAACAGCATTCAGCATCAAAAATAAGATCCGGATTTTCAACTCCAATGTGAAGTCAGTGCTACTATACGGATCAGAGACTTGGCGAGTCATAAAGAGCATCTCAAACAAACTTCAAACCTTCATTAACAACTGTCTCCGCTCAATACTCAAGATCAGATGGCCAGAAAAGATCAGCAACAGGGATCTCTGGGAGCGAACCAATCAGGAACCGATTGTGAAACAAATAGGCAGAAAGAAATGGAGATGGATTGGCCATACGCTGAGGAAACCATCAAGTGACATCACTAGACAAGCCCTCGAGTGGAACCCGAAAGGGAGGCGGCGAGTTGGTCGTCCAAGGGTGACTTGGAGGAGGTCATGTGAAGAGGAGATGAAAGCATGTGGGCAGACCTGGAGCAGGGTGAAAAAGTTGTCAAAAAACCGAAGTCAATGGAGGTGCGCAGCTGAAGCCCTATGTTCCTCTAGGAACTAAAGGATACAATAATAATAATAATGAAACAATTACACCGAAATGAATGCACTGACCTGGTTGTGAAAAGTTTCAAAACCAAAGAAATAATTCATTTTAACAGCAACGGAAACAAAAAATGAGGTGAAACGCAACATTTGTGAACAATACGTAACAAGATAAGTCGTGTATGACGGCAGGATAAACGGAACAACAAACGTGTACACGAACAGCTACGGAACTGCAACCCAACATGGACGAAAATGACCTTCGAGCGTCTTACTCCACCAATGACCTTGATAAGTTACGGATAATTTCAGCCGTTCAGCATCGTAACGAAAAGCGTAATGAAATTGAACTTAGACATTTGTGTAACTATTTGAAAAGTGTTCAAGGCCATCTACACGTATACGGTTGACGCGGTGATGGTTTGGTTTTTGGTTACTTTCCTTACCTTGACTCTCAAATTGGGTATGTATGATCATTTTCTCAAACAACTTAAATGTTAAGCTGCCTCGTGTGATGAGTTTGACGTTAGAGCAGTCTCGTACTCAGCAAGTGAAGCAGTGTTGTCCACTGAAACCGTTATTTTGATTGAAGGTGAAGCTAAATGTAAAGGGAAGGGAGTAAGTTTGTCTATTACTTGTTAATTGTTTGAAGTCTCCAGACCTTTTCGCTGAACTAAATGGAGTTTTCCAACCAGTTAGTCGTCATATTGAAACAGACAATTTCCAAGTACCATACTCTAATTCTGGTCTCTTATCATTTGCTGCTATCTATTAGGTGACATTTGTTTTCAACCATAAAAGTATCCCTAAAGGAGATTATCTAGTCCGTTTTTATAACGATAAAGGCGTAACAGCTTTCCTGCGTTCAATGAAGGGTGGTGTAACTCCTGACGTACAACCAGTCTTCACAGTTCCCGTACGACATAAAGTAGGTCCACTTATTTTAAATTATTTTCACTTAACAGGGTATATCTTACAAGCCAGTTGTGTACCTTGAAACGGTAGCACTGTTGACAATCCTTTTGATAGCACTTGGAGCTATTATCACTAAGAACAAGTCATTCTAAATTTATTGCTAGTTATGTTCTTATTTTTATTGTACATGTATAACGCTGTAAATTATTTGTACTTTTTCTTACTTATTTTGGAAACCGCTGATATTTAATAAAATAAAAATCAAGCGGACTTTAATCTCGATGAATACGTTCTGTCAGTGTATGGTATGTGAATGTTTCACAGGTATTTCTGTGAACTTTAGTCGTCTGATTTTTCTCGGAAGTTTCATCCTCACACACTTTTTATACGGATTTAGCTGAAGAGGGCCTCAAATCACTGAATCGGTCTATTATGCGAATAACAATCCTATACAAAACTTTCACGCTTATCTGGAGCAATTCGAAACGAAGTTTGGTTTCTGTACTGCTTTACTCGTCTGCACTGTAATGCATATTTCTCCATGTTCTCTAAGTATTGATGTACTAGAAGAAAGCACAGGATCAGAAAAATCTCCTAACACTAATGGATCATAAAACATTCTCTTTAACTTAAAGTCCAAAATGGAATTCATTATTTCTCTAACTGAACTGTTTGAGATACTACAGGTAATATACCACTGTTCTGGGATAACATCATCATTGTAGCCCGTTTAAGAATAGCCTACGTAGTGTTTTGAATGGTAGCCCGGGCGCTATTTTGTTTCTAGTACTGACAAAATTATTGGTTGCAAGTTGCCTCCGAAAATTATTCGATTGTAGCGGTCAGTGTTTAATCTGGGTTGTAGGTACATCAGCTAACTCAAATTCTGGGTCCTACTATGGCCTTTTATTCGTTGAATAGGACATTATTATTAACTTGTTTGAGTGGATTTATTCCTGAGAAGCATGTGAGGTGAATTCATGTGGATCTACATCAGGGAGTTAACTTACCGATAAAATTCGTAGTAGCTGTCAGACAGGTGCGTAATGAAATAAGTCTTCTGCTCGAGAAACAAATAATTTTATCATACTTATACAAAAAATTTTGTTTGTATTGTTTCTCTATTTAGGGTACTAAAGCTTCATATAGTTATTTGGTGCTAGACGTGATCCACCAAGGTGCATATTGCATATACTCACATCCTATGAGAAACTAGAGGTTGTTTACGCTTGCAAAGGTGTTGGTGGATAAAGTGTCACATCTCTTGTCAGGAACTGGAGTGATAAATACCAACATTATGTAGGTAATTCTGACGTGTACAAGTATGCTGGTCTTTTCTAAGCAACAGATTTTAGGCAAGGTCATTGCGAATTTATTGGTAAAGATGTCACCAAACTCGGTTATAAAGGGGTTCAGGGTACGGTATCGAATTTGGAGAACAAAGGTACCCAACTGAATATTCGTCCTCACTCTTAGGTATGTGCTTCGGTGGCGTATACGTATATACAAAGGGGTTTCGGGCCAGTTGTCTGACTGACTGGCTTCAACACAGAAGTTTGCACATGTGTGCAGCAGTTCGAGTTGGAAGTTTCCCCCATTTACCACATAAAGCAAGAGAAGAGAGATAATAAACAGAAATATGAGTGAGGGAAAAAGAATAGTAATATGGAAGAGCAATAGAATTTTATTTGGATATTATAAATCACAAAGAGTGGATTCGAGCCGCCTGCGCCAGATGCTGTATGGCTCTTGATTACTTGCAGTTCCTTTCGGATCTTCATTTCGTTTTCACCAACCATTGGGCGCTGGGGGCCAGGTGATCCTCTGTCCACCATTCCGAGTGTCTCTTTAGGCTATTAATCGGTGTGCTGTCTGCCTTCCAGACTATCTCTCGGACACCATTGCTACTTGTAATCGGCATCTCGGATGGGCAAGAATAACTTCTGACTGTTACCAGATACAGCTGCTGGTCCTATTTCACGTGTACATCTTGACCACCAGGTTTCGTGGTCCTTACGTAAGCACTGTCTGATCTTACGAGTAAGAGCTGTACTCTACTATCTGTCATAATGGACCTAAGAATGCCAAGAAGTTGCAAGGAAATCGCAGAAATGTGGTTTTTAGCGAGATGTTTTTTAAGCCCCAATCGGCTTCACTTGTAACTTTGATAGTGTCTTGTAAGTGCAGCCAAAGTTCGTCTATACTGTTTCGGGGTTTAGTAGCTAGCCTCGAGTCTAGCTCGGTTGCATACTCCGTGGAGGTGGCAGGTGCCACTAGTTTACGTACGTCAACATATTGAGCATGATTTTCATGATCACCACCAAGTCGTAAGATAAACCTGGCATACGGTAAATCATGATCAAATTTCAGACAAATATTATATAGGGAACAAAAGTCGTCTATGCACCCACGTCATCTGTAACTGGTTGCGATATGATCTATTCAAGTCCAGGCTTAAGCAATAGAGAGGACGCCAGGTAGTGCTACGGTGATGGCTGTGTCGGAAGTTGATGGTGGCTAGAAATAGGCTTTGATCTGCGCAAAGCTGCAGAAGACGATCCCCATTATCTTACCTGCAACCATGTAAGCTCAACTGACCACTTAGACGATTCTCCTCTGAGCTTAGACGCCCAACCTGTGCATTCAAGTACCCAACCACCAATATAATGTCCCTCTGACCCACCTGTTTCAAGAGATCGCTCAGCTGGTAGTAGATATCGTCCTCAATTGCATCTGGGCTGCAATCTGTCGGGGCATAGGCAGATACAACAGACACACACCGCCTATCTGGCCTACCACTCCTTACTTTCGTTTTAACCTTCCAGCTTCACTGCACATGGACGACTGTTAATGGGGATCCAGTCGAGTAATTCGGCTCTAGTGCGACACCAGCTACGTCGGATGCCGACGCCACAGGGTCCCAGGACAAGTGCAGGTGGTACATTGATGTAAGTATAGAACTTGTACCCTGAGGAAGAGTAAAACTGCATTATGGATAAGATTTTATTTTGAAAAGTCACACAGTGTTATACAGTAATATTAACTGATGACTACGTTTCAAGCACAAACTATTGACACTCATAATCATATAAAGTTCTTGATAGGATTATGAGCAATAGTTTGTGCTTGAAACGTCATCAGTTAATATTACTGTATAGCAGGAGGTACATAGTATTCGAACTTTCATATGGAGAGGATAATTGAAGCACTTCACTAGGATCTTGAATGCGGGTCCCCAAAATACAGCAGACGTCGATAGTGAGGCTTTCCAATGTTCTTAGCGAACCTGCCTGTTGTCTTTTTTGCATCAGTGTCCGAACATTATAGGTGGCCATCTTGAAGGCGGTTTCAGGATATCTGTGTTAACTGTCGCTCTGGGAACAACCATTTTGAAGGCTACTCACTAACATCTCGAGACGGCACAGATAGGCTGGGAATTGAGACAAAGGCGAAAGTGAAGACGTCAAGGTTAGCAAAGGTAAACTACAGGAGTCTATATATAGAAATAAAAGTAATGTTCGAAAGAGATGTGTCACTTAAGACATCATTATTGCTTGAAAGAATTTTTAAAAGCGCGCGATAAGTTGCACTGATAGTTTGTTGCTTCATTTAATTGATTGTATGGGGGCTGAGATACTGCCCGGACGCCCAGACCGAACTAGGCGGAATAGGGAAGCATTTCAGTGTCCTGACTAGATTTACCTATCTTCCGACTTGTATCAGTATGTAAACGTTGTAAGTGGCAAGCTTGGATTTGATATACGGTCCCAGAATAGTCGTCTTTGGATGTGGCAATGGAGGGTAACATTGACTAGCAACTCGAAACTGTATACAGACAGAATGGGATTTCAAGCAGTGACGAAGGCATCGTAATAGTTATAAAAAATAAGAGCAAATCAGTTTCTATATAAATATAAAGTGAAAATGGAACAAGTTGTCGAATCTATGATTAAGTGATCTTTGATAATGTGAATAGAATTTTCCATTGATTGTTGTTCCACTCTCTGAGCCATTGACTTGAATTTCGATTGACAAGGCAACAGAGCAGAGTTGTCAGTAACCGAAACTGGTCCGTATATCATTCCATCCTTCTAAACTCTAGAGTTCATGTGATCACAGGGTTTTCCATTCCCGCACCTAGGTAAGTCACCACTTTCATTCTTCCTTTAATAGGCGCTGAACATTCCCATCCACCCCTTAACTCTTGTCAGACCATCCCCTTCCGTGTACAGGTTGAGCATAGGACTTACGTGGCACAGGATATGAACAAGTGGGTACATACGCGCATTCCAAGAGGAAGACAGGAGTCTACCTGCCCTCAGCCATACCACGTAATTTATAGGCTTTGCGTTTCAAACGATCCAGATCCTAGCAGCTTCTAGTCTTTGTCTAAGTATCAAAGTACTATGATTACGTATATAGGTTATCTTGATTAAATATATTCCATTCCGGAGCAGGATGAAAAATTAGTCTCAATGCTCTGACTGCTCGATATCTATGATCCTTGCAAAAGTGATGATGGTGATGCGGAAATCAAGTGTGAAGTTAAGTATCTTGGATTAGTTCTTTCTTCTGACCTATCCTGGTCTTCCCATGTCTGACATTTTACATTAAGAAGTTAAGGCATAACCCAACCACTCCTCTTACAGTTTGTCAACTGGTGTATTTTACCTATTCTTCTTTAATGTTCACCCTCATTCTTTCCCCTGGATTGCTTAAAAAAAAGACTATGTCATACTTCGTAGAACTCTGAAGGCTGTCAGTAGGACGAGTGGTATTCAATTGGGCCATATTGTTTACATTGTCACTGATAGGCACTTGATGTCATTTAAAAAATTTGCTAAAGGAATTTTGTCAGACTCTGAGCACCCACTCTACCCGCAGTTCCAACCTTGTGTCTCCTCAGGTAAAACAAGAAGACTTTATGGATGTACGTCGAGGCATAAAAATTCCACTATACCATATTTGGCGTCACGTACTTCATGTGATGCAAATAGTGTTAGGCATAAACTAACTAACCTTCTTTGGACTACTAAATAAACCATTTCCTCCAACCTTACAACATCAACTTTTATTGTTATTGTATTTCTTATATTCGTAATCCTCTCAAGTTTTGTTTTTACTTATTTATTTTTCATAAGTGTGAACATAATTAAAGCTGTGTTATGACTGTTAATTTTGTATTTCCCCTCACCATGCTGCTATATCAACAGAACATTCGATTCAATAATCTATAACATGCTAAACTTTCCAAAGTGAATCGACAATACTGTTTGAAACAAACTCACTGTTATTATTTTTATATTTAATACTCTCATTTCGTGCTTCTGATATTTTTGACCCTATGTTCGTAAGCGTGGACAAATTCCTCTGGTTACTTTTGTTTTAATTTTACTTATATTTTAAGTAAATCAGATGCAATATTGTGACATGCTGAGAATTCCATTCTG